TTCATCAGCGAAACGCGTATAAAACCTGTTAAAGGCAAGTTTCAACTTTCCTTTGGAGAGGCGATCATGAGCAAGAAAATGTGATTCCTAGAGAAGCATGACTTTCACTTATTCTACCTAAAACTAGAGGAGGGTTGACAATGCTGGATCGCACCCTTCAATCTTAAGCGCTTTCACTTCGATGGAAGAATCAACATACTTCTATTGTTTGGAGGGCCCTTATAATTGACAATGTTGTGTTGACCTCTCTCTAGTGTAAATCATCGCTCTGGTTCATCAATGAAACGAGTATAAAACCCGTTAAAGGCAAGTTTCAGCTTTCCTTTGGAGAGGCGATCATAGGCAAGAAAATATGATTCCTAGAGCAGCATGACTTTCACTGATTCAACCAAAACTAGTAGAGGAGGGCTGACAGTGCTGGATCCCACCTTTCAATCTTAAGCGCTTTCACCGCAATGGGTAAATAAATTAATTTTGTCCACAGAGAAAAAAAGGTTGTCCTTAACCTTAGGCGCAATCCAGCAAAGAAGGGGTGCGTGGGGCAGCTAGGAGAGATTCTGATGCTAGACAACCTCTGGTCCTCACTATTGAAAACATCGTACCGTTTTCCACTACCCAACAGACTCTTTCCATCTAGATATGAGAAAGTCGTGCATCAACCCCTTTTTGACAATCGCTGGATCATAGACAACAATGCGTGTATATTTAGCGGTTCCGATCCACCTTGGTGCCTGCGGGTCAAAAGGGGTGTTATGAGAATCGAGGAATTATGAGACTCAAAAAACAAAAATTGAGAAGAGGCTGACCAATTGAGACTCACACTTCGGTATGCTTAAGAACTCTCGTTTAATCTATAACATAATGTTTTTTTATCCCTCTGGCTTGGATGAGAAATTTGAGAAAAGGGCTTAAACTTCAGGAAGCGGTTTGGGTGGTGGGGTTTGATCGCCCAACCAACATCTAAGGGTGGGACAAATAGTTGACATACAATAGCAATTTCGTCAAAACGGACATATACTTTTTTTTTTTTAACGAAATCGAAAACTCATACATTGGTCCGATTTAGGTTGACTTTTTCAACTTCTGAGGGTACGGCGTTCCGAAAATGTCCTACCCCCTCGATGCAAGCTAAGTCCTGATACATCTAGGAGGCTCCCCTGGACTCCATCTAAGTCCAGATACATCCAAGGGGTCTGACGTTTTAAGGACATCGGACCCTCAAGAGTTTGTAATTTCCACCTAAACCGGACCAATCATGATTTATGAGGTTTTAATTTCGTTCAAAAAATAAAATATGTCCGTAACAGTCCGTTTTGACGAAATAATTGTTGTTATATTACCGTAAGGAGCCTTAGTTAGCATTCACAAGGTAAATACAAATCACTTCTTAACAACATGTCATTTTGATGTATTGAATGTGTTTCCACTTTCTCACCTTTGTCGCATCAGAGTACTGTTTATTTCCTCAGTGAAAGGTTGAAAAGCCTATCATCCAGAGCTCCCAATCCAAGAGTTCCCCTTGGACCTGGTGAAGTGGGTATGGCAAACCAGCAGGAGAAGAAAGCCGCATTATTTACAATCCCGCTCTGTTAAAGCGATTTACAGTCTACTCCAACCAAGGGTAGATATCACAGTCGTTATTCAGGAAAGGTGGACACAACATTTAAGCATTGATACAAACTCAATTCAAGTTAGGCACATCAATTTTTTCAATAATACTAGGCAACGGCCGGACAAATTTTCATCCGTGGCAGAATATGAATCCCCCTGACCAACGGTTGCCGCGACCGTGATCGTGACTGGCAGTCATGACCGCAGTGGTTTTAACTTCACGACCACGTGGCGGCCGAAGGCGGGGGGGTGAGGAGGTGGGAGTTGTGGATTGGGGTTCCGGAACCCCAACAATAAAAAAATTCCCACGAGAAATGAAAGTTGAAAAAACATTCCATAAGAAAAAAATCTTTCATATTTATAAATTGTCATTCCAATGTGCATCCAATTCTAAAATTTTTAGTTTTATTTGATAAGTTTCCATCTAAATATGAGATTCCCTTCCAACTACATATATTTGTTCAAGATGGAATGAAAGGTTAGACGAGTTTATGAAATGTTTTAATTAGACTTTCATTCTACTACAACAAATATCTTCTAATTTATATTGGATTAACCTATTTATGACTGAAAATCCTTACTTAGAATGATCGTCCAATTAAAATATTTCATGAACTCATTCAATCTTTCATTCCATCTCTAGCATGCAGTTGAAATAAGAAGGGATACCTCATTCTTGGAATGAAAGTTTTCAAGTAAGACGAAAAATTTCAAAATTGAAATTATATTTTTTTAAGATGGAATGAAAATTTAAAATTTGGACTATAATTTTACTATAGAGTGATTATTTAATTCAAAGAAATATTTTCGTTGAACCCCACCTCACAGCAAAGTAAAATAAAAAAAGGATATTTTTTTTGGGGGGGGGGGGTGTGGGTTAAAAATATTAAAGAAATAATAATAAAATTTTGATTGATTGATTGGTTGATTGATTAACTGATTGATTGATTGATTGATTGACTGATTGACTGATTCAGACTGACAGATTGATTGATGTGTAGTTGATTGATTGACTGATTTATTTATTTATTTATTTATTGATTGATGGGGGACTCCGTAGGGTCGCCCCCCAGCCCCTCCCCCCCCCACACGCACATACACACACAAACATTCACACACACAGCTACACACCTACACACATACATACACAAGAGCGTGCACATTGAATAAATATGCTTTTCATTTATTTTTTACTTCTTTTTTTTTGGATTGATTAATTGATTGATTAACACACCGTGACACACACATACATAATCAATTTTGTGTTTATCTATTTTCCTCTTGCTGTCTGTCCTCCCTCTGATCTTTAAGTATTTTTTGCTTACCCAAAACTGAGCACCCTTAAGTATTTCCAAATAGTCGGTGGTTCCACTTTTGGAGTACCTACTGCACTCTTGGGGGGCCGTTTGGTTCGGGGTGTTTGTGTTGCCTGTGGGTGATGATGGATGCTCGTCGGAGTGTCTCCTTGTCTCAGTGGGTGGTGGGAACCAATAGTCTGCGGGGTTCAATCACGATGTGAGTAGGTCATGTGCCGCTTTGCTCCGTGCGCTCTGTCGTTGCCTGTTACCTGTCCTGCTTGCTTCGCATGTGATTCTTTGTTGTTTGATGTGTTCACTGTATGGTGTGGCCGTGTTGATCGTGTTGCCTTGCGCTTCGTTGCTCTGCTGTCTTGCTGCACTTCCGTTGGTCATGCCTTCCGTGTTTGCTGCGTGCGAGCCTTGTTGGATGCTTGCCTTGTCGCTGGTGCCTTGTGCTTCACCCACGATTGCTGAGCTGCTGGTCCGCTTGCCCTGTCGTCCCTTGCAGTGTGGTTGCCTTGCTTGTGTTGTCTTGCGCTTCATTACACGGTTCCTACGCTGCATCTCTTGTGTGCCATGTCATTCCTTGCAATCGTTTTTTGTATTGTGCAGTCGTGTTGCCTCTACTGTGTTGTCTGGTGCTCCACAGGGTTGGTGTCTTATGATGTGTTCCGCTTGGGGACAGTCTGTCTTCAACAAGGGTCAAGGGGTTCATGACCCAAACCATAAAATACAGAGATTCCTCATACAATATAATTTTTTTTCATAATTCAAAAATCACTCTATAGTAAAGTTACATCCAAAATTTCAGATTTTTATTCCATCTTAAAAAATATAACTCTAATTTTAAAATTTTCCGTTTTACTTGAAAAATTTCATTCCAAGAATGGGGTATCCTTTTTTATTTCAACTGCATGCTAGAGATGGAATGAAAGTTTGTAAGAGTTCATGAAATATTTTAATTGGACTGTCGATCTAGCTAAGGATTTCCAGTCAAAAACAGGTTAATCCAATTTAAATTAGAAGATATTTGATGTAGTAGAATGAAAGTTTAATTAAGACATTTCATAAACTCGTCCAGACTTTCATTCCATCTTGAACAAAATGACGTAGTTGGAAGGGAAAGCTCATGTTTAGACGGGAACTTATCAAATAAAACTGTAAATTTTATAATTGGACAAACATTGAAATAATAATTTACAAATATAACGATTTTTTTTATTTTTTATATAGAATGTTTTTTCAACTTTCATTTCTCGCGGGAATTTTTCTGTTGCATTGTCGAGGGTTCAACCTCCTGATAAGTCGGTGCAACTCCAACGTCGTTTTCCGAGTATATTTCGAAAAACAATATTTCATCCCTTACACGTTTTATAAAATTTCCCCACTTTCATTATGTCCTCCGCTGCTATATTCCGCGTTGAACGTTTTTTATTTGAAAAAAAAAAGAACATTGAAAAAAAAAAAAAATGGGGTTGTAGGGTTTTTCAAACCCTACAACCCCATATATATATATATATATATATTTGTGACGATATATATATATATATCAATGAAAAAAAAAATCCAAAATTAAATAATCATTCTATAGTGAAATTTCATTCAATTTTTCATTCCACCTTAAGAAATATAATTCCCATTTTTTTAATTTTTTGTTTTACTTGAAAACTGGGTAGCACTGTGTACGAGTACGTACTCCATCGTACGCGTAAGAACCCGAAATCGCTCGTACAAGTACGTAAAAAAAATAAAAAAAATCAAAAAAATAAAAAAAAAACGTATGTTGTGCAAAATAATGATAACAACAACTTTTGCCTAGGAGTCGTACCCGAATTCCCGACCAAGCTTGATTTAAAATTCTAAAACCTTGAATACATATTTTAAATACTTTTTAAATTATTTATGAGCAGGGTTGCCGGTGTTCGGGATGGGCCGAACGCCCAAACCCGAACGCCCGAATGTACGGGACAACTTCGGAAGGCGTTCGACCGTTCGAGCCGAACGTGGACAAAAAAAAAAAAAAAAAAAAAAAAAAAAAAAAAAAAGGCATTAACGCCTCCCTCTCCCTGTGGAAGGTCCAGATCCTCTGCCTCCGGAAGGACGCCCGCGGCCTCTCCCGGTGGACTGTCGACCACGCGCTCCTCTCAGGCCCCTCCACCACCTGTGCCCTGCACACCGCTGATGTATGCCGCCTGTGCTACCGCGGCTGCCGCGGACACGGCCGCTCTATGTCTGCGGACTGCAATGTCGATCGGCTCGGACTCTGTGTCCGTGTCCTCGTCCTCGGCCTCCGCTGCAGCAATCGTCTGTCGCTGCCTGTGAATCGCGTCCAATGCAGCCTGGCTGACGGCGAGCTCTGCTGCGAGTCGAGCCTCAACCTCCGTGATGGAGCTCTGTCGTCTACACCCACTCCGCATCAGCAACCCCTCCTCGCCAGATGTGTAGTGCTGAACCTGCTGCATGTCCTCAGTTGTCCCTCGGGCCGGAATCGGCGGTGGGATCAAAACTCTCTTCGTCACTGATCGAGACAAACCGAGCATGCGGCCTGCCATGTGAACACTCGGACGTCCGGAGCCACCCTCGCTGCTGGCCGCAACCTGAAACTGAGGTGACAAACGTCCTGCGAAGGTGCCCCTCCCGGCGTCGTAATCCGCCCTCATCCGGTCCGAGACCCGGCGATGAGCTGCCCATCCGCCGGCAACACCACCTGCGACAGGCGGCGGGGAACCGGCAACGGCCGCACGGGCAGTAGTCGCATCGGTGCTGCCCTCCATGCTCCGTGCGGGTGGCGGAGGCATCGATCCGACAGATCCGCCGCTGCGGCGGCCCGACCCGCCATCAACCGGCCCGAACTCCCTCCCTCTAATGCCGTTGAGCGAAGAACCTGACCATCTAGGGCTATCCACGATGTACGGCGGAGGCGAATACGCCCCTCCAGGAGGGCGCCTCTTGTTGCTCCTGCGGCCCATGTAGGGGAGAGGGTCATGTGAACCGAGTCGCGCCAAATCCTCGGCATAAAAACCAGCCTGAGCGAAGGCCTCGGGCCGTGTGAGAGGTAGTGTAGGCACTNAAACTAAACAACATTTGCCTAGGCACTACATCCAAATTCTTTACCAAATTTGAATTAAAAATCAAATACAGAAAATTAACACTATGATAAAAATAAGAAAAAATAAAAAAAGAATTAAAATGAGTGAGTGTGCCAGCACCTTTTCGACACCGCCATCTTTGCCGATTTTTAATTATTTTTTGGCATTGACAAATGCTCTGAAAATTTACAGGTATGTAGTTTACATAATCAATAACTCGTTAAAATTGTTTCAAAAAGTAATAATTTTTTTTAGGCCCCGAAATAAAGTGCAAACAAAAAGTTAAAAGTGAAAAAAAAAAAATAGTGAGTGGGCGAGCACGTTTTGACACCCCCATCTTTGACGATTCTTAATGTTTTTTTTGGCTTAGTGGAATGGCGTCAAAATTTATAGGCGTGTAGGTTACATCATAAAAACTCACAAAAAGACATTAAAAAAAAAAAACTTATCCTTAGGCCCCGGAACAGTTTTTGGCGGGGGCCGAACCTGGAGGTGTTCGGCCCCCGAACAGGACCCCGAACGCCCGAATGTTCGGGGGCCAGTCTGGGGGCCCCCGAACGTTCAGTCAGGTAACCCTGATTATGATAATATTACCTTTTTTTTTAGTTTTTAATTTCTTACTCGAGTTTGATTGGGAATTCGGGGATGACTTTCTGACAAAAATTGTTTGTATCATGTTTCTGCATAACATATACTTATTATGGAAGTTTGTCTTTATTTTTTTTTGTTTTTTTCTTAATTGTTTTAGTTTTTATTTCTATTTATTTCTTTTTTGTGTCTTTGATTTTAAACTCGAGTTTGGTACATAATTTGGCAATGTTTCCGGCAAAAGTTATTTGAAATATGATTGTTCATAACATACTGTGTTTTCATTTTTTTTCGATGTTTTTTTTTTTTTTTACGTATTCCTATGTACGGGAGTACGTGTACCCGCGTACGTGTCACAACCCGTTTACTGCATTCTTCACATCGTGTACGCGTACCCATTAACTGCGTACGCGTACCCATTTACTGCATTCTTCACAGTTTTGTAGTCTTAGTGAATGATTCCCCACCTGTGTACATTCTTGTAAAGTCTTTTCAACGCACCTGAACATTTTTGTCAGGGTGCAAGGTACGAGTAAGTAAGACCCTCACGACAGATAAGACAATTGTCATAAGAATGCGGGCGATGGTAGCAGCCCTCCCGCTGATCTACAGGACGAAAACCATTCAGGTAAGCAACTCCGTCGCAGCAGGAGCCAGGGCAGGTAGCATTAATCATACCTGTGAAGCATGATGCACGACAGAGGGCATGCCGGTTGCAGGCCATGGCGATTGTGGGACGTTTACCATCACAGTTAAGTACACATTCGCTATAGTGCCCGCAGACATGGATGGGACATACTGCATCTGGATGTAGAGGATGTTCACAATCTGGATACAGGTGGCATCCTTGCCGACAGCGAGCCCGAAAAATTATACGGTTGTAGTGATGTCGACAAAGTCGATGCTTTCCATAACCAAGTGTAACTGTGTCAGTGATCTCAGAAAGAAGGAGGTGACAAGGTGTTAGTACGACATGTGGGGGAATAAAGACTAAAGTAGGCACGGTGACCGACATAGAGGTAGATAAACATCTATTTTTTTTCACCACATTCTTTTTTCTTTCACAGTTTTGGAGTTTTGGTGAAGAGTCTACCACGTTCGCTTTTCAGCGCATATGCCCTTCCTTCTTCATTTTTCATCCTCGTTTTCATCCTTCAAATTTTTAATTTGAAAGTGTTACTAGGGTGCAGGGTACAAACAAAGTAAAATGACACAAACTTATGTTGTTCTTTTACTGCATTCTTAACAGTTTTGCAAGGTACGTCTAAGTAAGACCCTCACGACAGATAGGACAACTGTCATAAGGATGCGAGCGATTGTAGCAGCCCTCCCGCTGATCTACATAACGAAAATCATTCAGGTAAGCAACTTCGTCACATTAGGGGTCAGGGAGGCTAGCATTAACCATACATGTGAAGCATGCACGACAGAGGGCATACTGGTTGCGGGCCATGGCGATTGTGGGGCGTTCGCCATCACAGTTAAGTGCACATTTGCTATAGCGCCCGAAGGCGCAGATGAGACATACTGCATCTAGATGTAGAGGATGTTCAGAATCCGGATATAGGTGGCATCTCTGCCGACAGCGGGCCCGAAAAATTATACGGTTGTAGTGATGTCGACAAAGCGATGCTTTCCACAATCAAGTGTAACTGTGTAAGTGACCTCACAACGAAGGAGGTCACAAAGTGTTAATGCAACATGTGGGGGAATAAAGACTAAAGCAGGCACAGTGACAGACATAGAGGTAGGCACATACAGTTAGCATTAACCATACCTCTGAAGCATGCACGACAAAGGGCATGCTGGTTGCAGGCCATGAAGATTGTGGGGCGTTCACCATCACAGTTAAGTGCATATTCGTTATAGCACCCGCAGGGACAAATGGGACATACTGCATCTCGATGTGGAGGATGTTCACAATCCGGATGAAGGTGACATCCCTGCAGAAAGCGGCCCAAAAAAATTATACAGTTGTAGTGATGTCGACAAAGTCGATGCTTTCCACAACCAAGTGTAAAAGTGTCAGATCTCACAAAGAAGGAGGTCAGAAGGTGTTAGTGCAGCATGTGGGGGAATAAGGACTAAAGTAGGTACAGTGACAGACATGGAGGTTGGCACGGAGATATTAGTTGACGGTGAACTGGTCGTTGGGCCCCATATTGGTTGAAATATCTGATAACAAGTTTCTGGCCGTTGGCATGTGATGAAGAAATTGGAGCATTAGGAGATTCACTATGTGTCAGGAAGAGTCTGGCAAACCCTCTTAGAATGATGTTTCAATTTAAGGTTGTAAGAAGATTGGAAACATTTTTTTTTAATTCGTTATCTGGCAAGTTGTGCAAGTATGAGTCTCAGTAGAGTCATGACTGTCGTCTGTAAAGCCGTGACTTAATCAGTTAACGATTGACATCTCTTTCTGGGGCACGATTGGGCGGACCACCTCTCAGCTCTTGAATGATGCTGGTATATTGTTTCTTAAGCCACCAGTACATGGCTCCAGTGAAGTTGAGAATCCGATTGAGCCACTTCTAAAAAAATGAAACAAATAAAATTATCATTTTTTTAATTATTTAAAAATTAAAATAATTGTTTTTTAGTTTTTTATTTTAAAAAAAGAACGTTGAAAGTCAAAAAAAAAAGGGGTCGTACTCTAGGCTAACAGAGTGGCCCGGGGCCACTTGCCGGACCAGGTAAAAAAAAAATAAAAAAGTCAAAAAATCAAAATTATTTTTTAACTTTATTTTTTATTCTAAATTTGGTAAAGAATGTCGATGTGACCCTTAGGCAAAAGTTGTTCAGTTTATTTTATTGCGTAGCATAGTTTTTGTTCAAATATTTTGGATTTTTTTTTTTTTTTTTTTTTTTGCTAAGACCTTCCCTGGTCCTTACACGGTCGAGCCGTCCGGGATAATAGGATGACCCGTGCGGCCCGACTGGTAGCCTAGGTTGTACCCATATATATATATTTTTTATTTTTTTTGTCTTTTATTTTTTGAGACAATAATATTAAGAAAACTCTATCGCCCACGACTGTCCGCGGTCGACCTCGGCGGTCAGGTTGTCAACCGCCGGGCGGATTTGGTCCTGGGGTCATGATCGCGAAGGATACATAGGCTCTAGGTAAGCCTACTGCTAACGATGAATGAACACATAGACCAACCCTCAAGAAAATGAACCAATGGAAGAATCAACACACTTCTGTTTTTCGGAGGGCCCTTATAATTCACAATGTTGTGTTGACCTCTATCTGATGTAAATCAGCGCTTTGGTTCATCAGCGAAACGCGTATAAAACCCATTAAAGGCAAGTTTCAACTTTCCTTTGGAGAGGCGATCATGAGCAAGAAAATGTGATTCCTAGAGAAGCATGACTTTCACTTATTCAACCCAAAACTAGAGGAGGGTTGACAATGCTGGATCCCAACCGTCATTCTTAAGCGCTTTTACTTCAATGGAAGAATCTGCACATTTCTTTTTTTTTCGGAGGACCCTTATAATTAACAATGTTATGTTGACCTCTCTCTGGTGTAAATCGGCGCTCTGGTTCATCAACGAAACGCATATAAAACCCGTTAAAGGCAAATTTCAGCTTTCCTTTGGAGAGACGATCATGAGAAAGAAAATGTGATTCCTAGAGTAGCATGACTTTCACTTATTCAACCCAAAATTAGAGGAGGGTTGACAATGCTGGATCCCACCCTTCATTCTTAAGCGCTTTCACTTCAATGGAAGAATCAACACATTTCTCTTTTTCGGAAGACGCTTATAATTGACAATGTTGTGTTGACCTCTCTCTAGTGTAAATCGCGCTCCGATTTATCAACAAAAACGAGTATAAAAACCGTTAAAGGCAAGTTTTAGCTTTCCTTTGGAGAGACGATCATGAGCAAGAAAATGTGATTCCAAGAGTAGCATGACTTTCATTGATTCAACCCAAAACTAGTAGAAGAGGGCTGACAATGATGGATCCCACCCTTCAACCTTAAGCGCTTTCACTTCAATGGGTAAATAAATTAATTTTGTCCATAGAGGAAAAAACGTTATCCTTAACCTGAAAGCAAATTCGTAGATTGGCCCCCTCTGCTTCAAAGGACAGACACCCTCCAAATTAACTTCGACCGAGGAACGGTTTTGGATTATCCCCAGAGCTCAGGCGCAATCCAACAAAGAAGGGGTGCGTGGGGCAGCTACGAGAGATTCTGATGCTAGACAACCTTTGGTCCTCACTATTGAAAACATCGTTACTGTTTTCCACTACCCAACAGACTCTTTCCATCTAGATATGAGGAAGTCGTGCATCAACCCCTTTTTGGCAATCGCT